TGGCTCACGTTTAAGTGATCGGCCACTAGGATTCCAAGGTCCCTCTCACAGTTGCTGTTTTTGAAACATAAAATAAAAAAAGAAGTTTGAAGCATAAAAAGTATTCTACCTCCTTGTTGAATATTATAAGATGAAAATAGGCCAGCTTTGAAAGAAGAGACTTTTTAAAAAAAGCTATCATTGAATAAATTAATCGGCTAATAACTTAGAACAAAACAATTGATTTATGCTTTGTGTTAAAGCAAGTTCATACAACTAGTGTATTATTCATAGACTTAATATAAATTAGCCATATTTGGACTAGCAGATTAGTTATGGTTTCATTGTCTTCGGATTTATGGTTCCAGAAAACTTCACAGCCTCTGCAAGGGGAAAACATCAAATTTCATGGTCAGATCTAAGGTAGCCAATTGTTCTTGCCAAAGAAGCCTGTAGCTCCAAACACATTACAACAGGTTTTCCATTATAGCACAACCACATTTTGAAATCAATTATCTTTCCTCTTTAGAGGGAAGTTTTCCATTTGTTTTATTAGTGTGTAGCCCTCCCTTCTTTTCCCACCAAGGCAGGCAACTGGAGACATCTCTGTATTATTTCTCCATTCAGAAATGAAATGAAATGAAACCCCACAGGAATCATGCCACAAGAAGGTCAAGCAATCCGGTATCTCTGTCGGTGGCAATTAAATTATAGCCGTGAGAACTTCAGAACCATTTGGCAAAGTGACGTTCCTTCACCGAAGGTTGAAATTTAACATCTTTTCTGTCTGCAGCCAGTCCCGTGCTTGGCAGAGTGAGCGCAACCACTTACACTTATGGTACATTTTGCCCAAACTCGTGCAACTAATTTCTGACTGAAGAGGCTGGGGGTCAGGCTTTAAATTACGTAGTGTAATTAGAGATTGGCTTTTTAAGTTCATGAGTTACAACAACTTGAGTAAAAAGCTCCTAGTTACCCCACCCCCACCCCCTGCCTTCCTCCCAGTATTTTCAATAAGAGAAAGCTCATTCCAAAACAACGAAGTGCCATAGCAATGGGTAGTTCACACACAACACTCCTTTCATCCAGTTGGACGATTACAACAATTTTGTCTACTCTGACCAGCATTATTCCTCAGGTTCTTTGACATGACAGGTTTTTTCCAAGAGAATTTTTATGGAGGGTAATAAATATATAATAAATGGAGTATCTTGATTTACTTGTATGGTTTCTAAACCGAAAGGATGTTGGAAAGAAATTGTGGAAAGAAACTCAGGGTTCTGTCCAAATGGAATGGAATATGGTGTGGAGAGAGAAGCTGGGAAAAAGTTTTGGAAATAGGCTGGATCAAGCTATGGAGAAAAGAAAAAAAAACAGAAAAATGTTCTCCAGCACCTTCCTGTGGGACAGGCAGCTGAGAATAGTGTTGACTTCTCCGTTATATGCCTTCTTCCTCCTGGTGACCCAGAGGTGGACATAAAATGGCAGCAGACCACTCTGGGCTTCTAGCATGTGAAGATGCATGCAGATGCATACAGAGTCCCTGGGGATAGTCGCCAATGTGAATTTAATAAATAAAATGTACACATCACATTGCTTTCTACAAAGAAAGATCAAACACCTTGTATGGCCACTCCTGGTAAAGGGTTGGAAACAATTCCAGATGCCATATTCTGTATTTTCTTTCTTTTTTAAAAGAGGATTTTCATTCTCTATATTTCCTAAGATGATCTAGAACAGTGATGGCGAATCAAGTGCCCAAAAAGTGGCCCTGCCCCCACTCCACCCCCCCATCCCCTACCCCACCTGCCCGCAGGGCCATTCACCGCCTCCAGGGCCCACTGCAGATTGCCCAGGCAGCCCAGCAGCGCTATGGCAGTCACGCCCTCTGCAGCATCAACTGTGCATGATGGGGTGTGAGGGCAGAGTCTTGTCTACGCTGCCTGTCTGCCATGTCCTTGGCTGCACTGCTCCACATGGGCCACGCTCAGGGGCGACTCTCCTTCAGGGGGTGCTGCTGGAGAGGAGGGGGTCGCAGGGGGAGGTGAGGCTGGGGCAACGGCATGTGTGCCCACAGAGAGGGCTCCGAGTGCTGCCTCTGGCACCCGTGCCATAGGTTCACCACCACTGATCTAGGAAAACAATACATTTGGTAACAAATGCCTATCCAGTTGCATTTTTTCAGCATATACTTTTTTTTTTCACGGAATTGCAGTTAGTATATTTAAATAGTATAAAAATGTGACCACATCTTTTCATTAAGCTAGTACCGGTAAGTGACCTTCTTGGATGTTGTGACTTCTCTCCATTCTCCCTCCATCACCCCATCTTTCTAGGCATATCTAAAATCCAATGCAGAGTGTCCCCCATCTCTTGACCAGGGATCAAGAGGATCATGGCAGAAGGTGGGACAATCTGCTCTGCTACTAGATGCTGCTTGAGTGTTTCTCTCCCCCAACACATCAAGATTCCTGAGTAAGATGAGATATAATTTGCCCCCTTCCCTGTATGTCTTCTCTCTGCTCCTTGGGAGGCAATCCTAGGGTCACACTCGGACTTTGAACAAATCATGACCGGAATCTGCAGGAGTCAGATAAATTCAATAGATACATAAACTTAAACAGATCAAATTGTAACACTATTGAAACTTTAGAACTGGAGAACTCAAAATCAGAGAGATTCCAATCAATTTAATTGCAAAAATGGATACATTTCTTTTAAGCTTTCTGTGTAAGAAAATCATCTGATGTGTTATGTTTAAAATCACAGTGGTTTTTATCAGAGATCTATATAGTCAGGGCTTTGGAGAAAGGCTTTGCCAGTGTTCAGTGTTCTTTGACAATTCTCTCCAGGGAGCAAAAGAAATAGGATCTATTGATTATTTTTCATTATCTCTAATTTCTACAATTATGAAATTTTAAAGCCCATGTTTTCTAGTAACTTTCATCTAATTGTAAAATTTGCTTTCCAGAGAGGTGATTCTACAAGCAAATTGCTTGGCATTTCCATGATAATGAAAGCCCTTAAAATAACAAGACATTTTAAAATTCTGTAGATGATTGATTTTCATTCTTTTATATGTTTCTTATTCTGAACTGTTTGGCTGTGTTTTCATGCCATCCAATTTAAATACAGGTAGTCCTTGAGTTACGAGCAGAATGGAGCCTGCCCATTCCACTCATAACTCGAAAACTCGTGGGAGTGAATCTTGTACCCCGAACGAGATCACTCCCTTGCTCGTTAAGATGCACACGGCTCATTAAGTGATCATGAGGTATCTCAGGGTGGGGAAGGGCATGGAAGGTCTAGTGATGGAACAGCCCCCCCCCAAGGCCTTCCCGACCCACTAAAAACCTCATTCTTCCCCCTTCCTTCCTACTGCACCAGACTCATCTTGAAAAGATCTGTCTCCTCTCCGCCGCGGTTCCTGCTGCTACCCAGATCTGAGGCCAGGGGACACTTCTGTGGCCCTCTGACAGCCAGATCTGGGCGCCGGATAACTTCTCCAGGCTGCCGCCGCCTGGATCTGAGGCCAGGGTACACTTCTGCAGCATTCTGGCGGCCTGACCCTGCCGGATGCCTCCTCCAGGCCAGTGCCACACAGATCTGAGGCCAGGAGACATTTCTGTAGCCCTTTGGCAGCCCGTTTCTGGGTGGCACCAACCTGGATCAGGCTGCCGAAGGGCCGCAGAAGCGTCCCTTAGCCTCAGATCCGGGCGGAAGCAGCCTGGAGGTGTCCAGCGCCTGGATCAGGCCGCCAGAAGGCCACGGAAGCATTCCCTGGCTTCGGTTCCATTCTCTGTTGCAGAGGCCTAAAGTACCATGAGTTCACACGAGATCAGAAGCGTGAGATCTCGCCCCACTGATCTCACGTGATCTTGCGTTACTTTAGGCCTCCGTTCTCTGCAAATGCATGAAGGCCTGGAGCAGCCAAGAAAGCAAAGGATCTCAATCTTTGCAAGGTGATTATTGAAGGCCTGATTCCTAGGGAGACCCCGGATGGGGGTGGGGAGAGAGGGAATAACCAGGGTGAATGTTGCAGTGCCACTGCCATCACTTGTAAATGTGAACGTCTGCCATGGTGCTGCGATATTCATGATTTTGGGACTTGCTCATAAGCACTAGGGGGTGCTTATCATGTAACTTCAAGCAAGCGTTAAGTGAATGCTCATAACTCGGGGATTACCTGTTATTTAAACTCTATGTTCATATTCTAAAGCTTTCTAATTTTATTCCTTTGTTGCTTCTTTTGTTCTTGGAAAAATAAGTAGATAAGCTAGATGAAGGCAGGGGTTAGTGTGGATTATATAGTGGATGGATGGATAGAATCTGCATCCATTTGGTGATGTATTTACATGCTTTAACTATAGAATTGGATTATTTCTCCTCTATTGTTTTAGATTTGTATTTTCAACAGATTAGGTAAAAGTAATCCCAAATTGCTTTCATTCTGTAGTTGCTCAGACACCGTGACAGATGATGATGAAAACACTGGCGTCATACTATTGGATCACTGGATAGGGTGTTTTTTATATTATAGTTTGTAAAAGTATTAGTATATATATCTTCCAGCATTCTATACTTAATCCTGAGACTTATTTTACATGTACTGTATACATAAAGAGCACTGGTCATATAATTTTATTTTCTGGCATGATTACTGTATACAAATCTAGCTATATGAGGACAGAAAGAATGATGTGTAATCAGATTAGCAAAAAAGCAGCTATATCAGTGAAGAGGTAAATTATGGCAGTTTCCCAATTTTGCATTACATAATTTTTTTGACAGCATTCATTGCCCCATTCAGATCAATACAATGCAACTCACTGCATAGAAGATTTTGAAAATGTTTGGAAATCTTTGTTAAAAACTGATCTGATTAGAACTTTTTTAAAATTTCAAAAGTTGATGGTTTTCAAAATTATAATTCAATATGATTCAAGAATAAAACTAAATACCATTGCTTTTATCTGAAAATACCATGAGTTATTTAAAAGTAAAGTAAAAATATTCCATTATTTGCAATGCATATCTACAATTTATTGCTTGATCAGAACTAGGGTCACAAACAAATTTTCAACATAGAAATGCAACATTAGTAAGTCAAGACAGGAAGAAAAAGATGGACAGCGACAAAGCAAAACATCTATTACTGAGGATTTGGTTTTCTGCTCAAGATAATATGTCTTTTCCATAGTTGATGCTTAAATTCTACAGTGTTAGAAATATATACTCGTAGAAGTAGTTGACTGACAATATTTCTAAAACAAATTTGAACTGGAGAAATTGTCACCAATACCTCTTTCCTTAAGATAAAGTGAAGCGCATTTCCCTCCATAACCATATGCTGAATTTCCTGAATGTCAAAAAATATTTTAAAAATTAACCAACATAAAAATAGCTTGCTTTTATGAATAGTGAAGAAAAACTGCACAAAAGTTTGCATTCAACTACAGCTTATCTATTTTCAAATACATTATGGCAGCTCTAGGCCATTGCGACTTTTGCTTGAGATCCCCTCAAGCTATACCTGATCCACAGCTCAATGTCTTGAAAATTTATATCCAATGCCAAACAAATATCCAGAATCTTCAGTCCAACCCAGAGCTGGATTGTGAATATTTCATGTCATCTTAAATAGATTCCAAATTTATTTCCAAATATATGTCCTATCAGTCTGTCTTTGCCAAAGATCCTTTCCCAACATCTGCTTAGCTACTAAATTTACAAAAAGATGTGGGTAGAAGTTACTGAACCTCAGTACTGGTGAATCAAATCCATAAAGGACTCTGAATGAGGATAGGAATGCTGAATTATATGCCTATTTTTGAGATATACAGTTCAGACCTCATGGACCTGCTCTTTGGTATCACCCTAGAACAGGATGGGACATCTGTAACTTTTCAGATGTTCCTACACTGCCCAATTGTTACTATCTATCCCCATTGGCCATATTAGCTAAGGTTTTGGGGACATCTATCAGCAACATGAGTGCACTCCAAAAGTATTCACGGGTTGCTATTTTCTATAATTTGGATATGGGTTTACAGTTGCTTTTGAAAAAAAGATCTGATCTCACTGGTGGCATTGTTGTGACACATCACAGACATAAGCACTCTAGCATTGAGACTAAACATGTTTTAAATAAGGAAATTCACATATAGTGTTAACAAGTAGGTGCCAGGAGATTTCTGTTTTATTATTTTTCACTTTGATACTAGAAGCAAACATGGTAACAATCAACCTAAATAGGCATGATCCAGCCAAAATTAAGCACCTTTAGGTTCTACTAATTTAAGGAGAATAAGCAATTAAATTGATTTAGAAGTATATCTTTAAATGTATATCATCTACATTGCTTTTTTTACTAGAAAACCTGCCCATCAGAGTTTCTAGATAATATTTAGCTAAGTGCAATAATTAATTTCAAATTTAACATTCAAGGCAACAGGTGAGAAGAACTACATTTAAATTCAAATATTTCTGAACATAATTATTAAGCAGTTATAAACATTAAGATGAATCTTAGCATTATACAGCACATTGCTACACATCATTTGTTATGGATGAAGTGGAAATTAGCATATCTGATTATTACAGCAGCAAAAAAAATCTACAACTGTTCTGCGCCATGGAATATGTTCTGAAGCAGCATTTTTAGTTTTAAAGAGAAAAGTCAAAAAAAGCCATAAATTATATATTTTAAGAATTCTTTTGAGGCGTCCATTAAATTTCTGTGCTTCACTCTTGACAATATATACCCACACAATCCTGCATCTATACATAAGTCTTCAATAATATGCAGGTAACTGTGAAGTAGATTTATGCAGTAGATCTATGCAGCTGTGATTAAAGTGCAAAATATTTGGTACAAAGTCTTAATGACTACCGTATCTTGTTTCAATGGACACTGGAGAACTGAGACTGGATCTTCCATTGATGGCAATAGTGTTTGATGGAGGTGCAACCTGGAAAAGAAAATATTGTCAGGATCATAGAAAAAAATTAGGCCTGGATATCATCCATCCGCCATTTCAACATGCATCTGTCTTAAAAGCTAACCCTGAGCAACATCTACCGTATTTTCCCAAAAGTAAGCCCTAGCTTGATTTGGGGGGGCGGACCTAATATAAGCCCTACCTCCAAAATAAGCCCTAATTTTGGGGCAGGACACACACTTAAAAATCAAGCTAGGGTGGGGATGTGGATCTGCCCCATGTGCCCCACACCCACTTACCTTGCAGCCAGGCCTCTCCTTGCTGGCCCACTTCTTCTGCAGCGTCTTCTGCAGCCAGGCCTGCATTTCTCAGTCACAGGCCTTTCCGTAAGGCCTCTTCCGCCAAGAACTAAGTTATGGATTGAATAGCTTGGTTCTGTAAGACCTCTGCAGCTGAGGACCGAGCTATGGATTGAATCCATAGCTTGGTACTCGGCTGCATAGGCCTTACGGAAAGGCCTGACTGCAAAATACAGGCTGGACTGCAACTGCAGAATGAAGCTGCTCCTTCGGCTGTAGAAGAAGTGGACCTACTAGGTGGGGCTGTCGGTGCCGGAGGTGAATAAGACATCCGCTGAAAATAAGACCTGGTGCCTCTTTTGGAGGCAAAAGAAAAAAAAGACCCGGTCTTATTTTTGGGGAAACACAGGTAATTATTTACTGCGACCCCATTCAATAAAGAAATGTATACAGGTTTGATAAAGAGAGTAATGTAATGTGGTCAGCGAAGGTTGAGAAGATTAATCAATTATTAATCAGTCTTGATATTCAGTGGGTGTCTCTGGATATTGTTTTACCAAACAGCCAAAATGGTAGGACAAAATGAGATGGAAGAAGCATATCTCCAAGATTAAAAAATAGGAGACAAGGAGGTTACAATATGAAAGTACGAGATCAAACAGAATTGGAGAATAAAACAGGTTTTAAGATTGAGAAGAAAGCAAAGCATTGGGTATCGCCATGACAATTCTGAACAGTACGCTGCTTCAAAATAGTTATGTTAAAACATGGAGTGAAATTAAAGAGATATGTTAATGATAGAACAAAATGCAACTGTCACTTTTGAGGAGTGAAGTCAACAGACACATGGATGAGGTATACATTTTGCTTTTTAAAAGGAAATGTTTTAAATAAAGCAGTATCTTAATGGGGGGAGACTAGTCATATGATGGAAACATTCTGGAGAGATAAATAGCTTCAAGCCTTACCCTCTTTTGACCCATTTGATTAGCAATTAATGAGGGCTTAATTCAACAGAAATAAAACTGCAGCACAAAAGGCCACAGAGTTTGGCTCTGCACCCAAACAAGTTATTAAAAGGAGGAAAATGTTTGGCTGACAGGAGAAACAGTTTTTCTGCCTCATTTCTTAAATACTTGGCAGACAGTGAGAGCACCTGATAGACCTTTTACCTTACTAGAGTAAAGCAATTGCCCAACATCTACTCTCCTTGCTCTCCATACACAAGGGAATCAAGGAGCCTGCCAGCCTGCTGACATTAAGGGTTTAATTCTCTCACATGCAAACATCCCTTGTTTTAAAAAGCTAAAGTGACATTTTGCAGCCACAGCCTGACATCATCTTCACAAGAGGAATAAAAATAAATTTGATACTGCAGTTTTCTCATCTAAGTTTCACTTCCTCACATTGTTAAGATAGTGCAAAAGTCTCATCAACAGGCTACGCTTTTTGGGGGGGGGGAAGGGGGAGGATGTCTTTCTTGAATGGAGAACAACTAGGAAAATCTGAAAAAAAAAACTTCTAAAAATGAATGGATCTAACTAGGTCCATCCCGACCATATTAGTTAGCCTTAGAGCCCATTCTCTTTTCAATGCACAGTTTTAAAAAAGAATGGAGGCATGCCTTAATTACTCTTCATTTTTCACTATTTATTTACTTATTTAAGCAAACCCATAGAGGGCCTCAACAGCAGTCAAAGAAAAACAAGTGACAATAGAAATACTAAATACCCAGAACTTCACAGCTCATTATAAGAACAGAAAACATGCAAGGAGCCAGTTCACATTCCACCCTTCCACAGAATCTGCTGGAAAACCTCGATCTTCAAAAAAGCACAACAGATTTGGGGTCATACAGACATCGGAAGGAGTGCCGTTCACGTATGGCTACGGAGAACGCCCTGCAAGATGGCACTGCTTTACCACGAGGACTTGGGAGTGAGCAAACTTTCCAGATCTTATCAGATGGACAGAAATAACAAAAAGAGGCCACCCCCATGAAGTGACAACCAGCCTTTTGAATTGTAACTGGAAGCTAAATAGTGGTCAAAATAGTGGTGTAACACAGTAGGGGTATGAAACAATGATGTTACACAGACAAAATGAGATATGACCATAATTACCTCCATCCCTCTATTTTGGACCAATGCAGTTTCTGAGTAGACCTCAAGGTAGCCAAATGGAGAGTGCACTGCAATAATCCAAACAGGTGGTGATTAAGGCCTCCCAGTCCAGAATACAGGTTGTAATTGGAGTACCAAATGAAATCTCTGGCCATGGCTGCCAACTGTTTGTTGAGTAAGAACCTAGAGTCTATGCACCCCCACATTGCACAGATGTTCCCCACTGAGAGCAGAAGTTGAAAAATACTTGAAGCCAAAGCCATTCGGTCTTGCTATGCTGGAACTGGAACTAAACCTTAATGGCACTGCCATGTTGGGATTAACATTTAAATCTGGGTATCACCTGCATACTGATAATACCTGAATCTGTGTTAACATAGATGCTAAATACAAACGGGAAGATGATGAGCTGTTCCAAGGAGTCCTGTCCTGTCCCACTCTCTACCAACTCTGACTGGAACTGACCCTGGAGAAAGAAGGGTCACTATAATTCAGAACTTCCCATCTCTAACCCCCGGGAGTGAAGGGCTCAGAAGGCTACTGTGATCAATGATCCTGAAAGCTTCTATTCAGCTACATTAGGCAATTCAGTCCAGAAAATCTACTCCACTAGAATTATATTTTATTAAGATTAAGATTTATTAAGCTATAATAGCAGAATCTTGCAAGTTTGATCCTGCTATCCTTCCTTTCCATCTTATATCCCAGTGAACCAGGGAGCATTTGCCTGTGCCACTTCCAAACAGTATCTTGCTTTCTAGGTCTTAAAAGAGTGTTTCAGCCCTCTTTGTCTAGGTCAGGGGTAGGCAACCTCGGCTCTTTTATGGCTCATGGACTTCAACTCCCAGAATTCCTGAATCAGCCTACCCCTGATCTAAGTAATAGATCTTGTATAGTTCTGTCAAGGTCATCTCTTTTACTTTCTAAAGCTGCAGTAACAGGAATGGTCCCACCAGAAGTCATCCACAAGCACAATCAGTGATGTCTCAATACTATATCCAATCCCTGTCTGGTAAGATTTCAGATAATGCTTTTCCTCCAGAGTCCGCTATAGTTACAGCCAAGAGAAGCAGGCAGCAACAACAATTAAAACCACAATGGTAGACTTTTTTTTTAACAACACAAGAGAACACTGAAAAAAATATCTTAGAATGGCAAGGTGTGCAGTCACAAAGCTTGCCTGAGAAAGATGAGTTCATCTACTCCAGGCATGTCAAACTCGCGACGTATCACAACTTTTTCCCCATTGCCGGCAATAGGGTGGGTGCAGTTTCGGCGTGATGCATCCAGCCCATGGGTTGGCAGTTTGACATGCCTGATCTACTCACTTGAGCTAAGTTCTCTGTATATAGATTTTGTCCTATTAAGAAGCAGAGCAGCAAAAAATATCTGTAAAAATATGCAAAATATTCTGCTGTATATACATGAAAAATATCCAGTATGGTTTTGAAACTTGAAGCCTACAAACCTGAAACTGATACCACAACCTTTCTGCTTTACTGACTTGACTTTTAAGAAGTTAACTATCTGATTCGAAGGCTGAAGAGATTTAGGGAAGGTGGAAGTGCAGGTATGAAGCCAGTTTATGAAAGACCTTAACTTGGAAAGTACAAATGAGCAAGGGAACTGAAGGAAGTGATGGAAGAAAGGAGAAAATGACCAGGCAAATAGAAAGAGGGAAGCTAAGGGTACACAGCAACCTGATGTCCTTTAAAATGGGTTAGTTGATTACGGTTTCTATAACAAAAGTAATGATATATACTAACCAGGTTGAGGTTAACCAGATCAAGGTCAACCGTTATGAACACAGATCTATTTCCTATTGGCATCGTTAAAAATAACAACAACACATTCACAAGATTTGCTCATTCTGATTACTACACAGACTTTGAAAGAAGCCCTATAAATCCCCTGCTGTTGATTTAATGCTGAGTGGGAGAAGGGAGGATAGCGACTCACCCGCCTCAATTTGGCAGCAGCCTCTCCAGAGCGGATTGCAGCCAGCAAGCTCTGGTGGATCTGTTCTGGGTCAGGGTGCTGGACTGCTGCAGCAAGGCTTCTCTCACAGATAGCGGTAGCTGGATGGTTGAATAAAGGGGGTGCCTGCCTGTTTTGCTCATAGCTTGCATCGTTAGTCTTCTGCTGGGTTAAAACATTGCCCAAGTAAGGTTAGCTGAGGGTGTTACCATCATTCTGAGCACATTCTCAAAGAGCTATAGGTTTCTAACTACGAAGCATTGTAGTTTATTAAGCGGATCCAGAATAATAAATCATTAATTTATTATTAGTGTAGGGGGGGGGTGTTTAAGGTTGCCACAAAATTCAGGTAACACACATTGGATAAATAGCTTACTCAAATATTCCAGTAAGCAGAGATAGAAGTGGGGGTGGGGGACATGCAATGCCATTATGAATGCATGTTAAATACAAGTTTTACCTTGTCTGTCAGGATCTGCTGTGTCTGAGTTGTTGGACTCGGTATAGATGAATAATCTTTTACTTCGATGTTGGATGCTGATGAGCTAAGGTCAAGAGAAGATTGTTCTTTTAATGGTCTGGTTGCATTGGCACATGTTTTACTGAAGGACTGTGATCTTTTAACTGCTGATGATACAGCAAGAGCAAAAGGTGAAGGTTTAGGAGAAGAATATGGTTGTGGCAAAATAAAAGTCCTCAAAGTTTTCAATTGTAATGGAGAAGGCTGGGATGAAGGAGAAATCAATGGTTGAGATACTTTTATAGGAGAAGTGACTTTTCTCTCTTCTTCATTACATCCATTTTCAGTAGTTTTCTCAGGTAACTGAGAAGGAACAGTAACTGGTTTAGGTAGTGGAAAGCCAGGTTGATCTGGAGATGCCACTTTTTTTTCCGTCTCCCTAGTCTTAGCTTCATTCTGAATAGGAAAAGTGGTGACTTTTCTCTCTTCTTCATTATATCCATTTTCAGTAGTTTCCTCAGGTAACCGAGAAGGAACAGTAATTGGTTTAGGTAGTGGAAGGCCAGGTTGATCTGGAGATGCCACTTTTTTCTCCGTCTCCATAGTCTTAGCTTCACTCTGAATAAGAGAAGTGGTGGCTTTTCTCTCTTCTTCATTACATCCTTTTTCAGTAGTTTCCTCAGGTAATTGAGAAGGAACAATAATTGGTTTAGGTAGTGGAAGACCAGGTTGATCTGGAGATGCCACTTTTTTCTCCACCTCCATGGTCTTAGCTTCACTCTGAATAGGGCTGCTTAGAGAACCACTTCTTGCAATTGCAGAAGTTACATAATGATCTGTGGTCCTCCTCTGTATCTGTAAATAAAAATTGCTTGGCCTTATTGGGGGACTCAAAATTTTTGGTTTTTCTTGCACCGCAGGTGGAGAACTTTTCTTTCCTGAATTTAGAATTAAAGGAGGAATTGGGTAGTCTTGATTAGGCCTGGGATGTTCTACCTCCATTTTCTGGCCTTGGGCACTGGAGAAGGAAACTGGGCTATGATCAGCAGCCGGGTATGTTTTAGGCGGTGAATCCCTCTTTACCTCATATAATGTAAATTCATTCTTAAAATCAGGTTCCGTTTGATACAGTCTTTTTGAGATATTAGCAGTCTCTGTTTGTGTACCAAATTCTTGGGAATTTTCATTCTTGGGAGATACCGTTGCTTCTTGGGGTTCCACAGGATCTAATTCCCGATTCTTTGCGGTTTCCAAAAATTTGGGAGGTACTATTTTGTAAGTAGTCATTCCAACTTTGGGTATGTAGTCTCTGGTAATTTCATTGGAAGGCTTAGGCTTAGGCTTTGAATCTTGTCTGTAAAGTGGGTACGTTTTTGTAGGAGAACTAATTGGGCTTCTGACAATTGTCTCTGGGAGAACTTGGTTCTCATTTACCAATGCATTATCATGGGTGCCATTAGGATTCACACTGCTTTGGTCTGCTTGTCCTATGGGCTTACTCATCATATTCAGGGCTCCTGAGGAATGGTTTTTCTGTACTGGCTTGTGTACATGAGTCGAATTTTTGTGAGGGCTCAGTGTGCGACTCTGATGATTGCCATTTTCACTTAATGCAGTCTGACCACAATTATCTTCAGATATGGTCTGAATTGCAACATCCTGAGTCTTTATTACATCTACATTGATGGGATCACATTTTTGATCGTGCACATTCAAAGACATCTCCCCGTTTAGAGAGGTGTCATCCACTGTCTCAGGCTTGTTACTTTTTCCTATTTCTTCCTTACTGAGTTTGTTAGAAGGCAGAGGATATGTTGCTTCTTTATGACCTTTTTAAAAAGGGAAACGTAATTTTGACATTAGCACAGAGAAGAAAAATTCTCTGAATTACACATCACTCTTTTTTCATTAAAACGGTACTAAGCAAAAGAATTCCCTTAATATAAAATTCCATTGATTATACCGAACTGCCATGTGTCATGCTGATTTCACAATCTATGCCGGGCAGACCCAAAATGGCTTATTAACATGAAGTAATGGTAACTGCAGGCAGGACTTTATGATTGCTGATTTATACGGCTTGAGAACAACCACAGAGAGAATCAGAAGAATTCCTCGGTGCCAATAAGCTTAATTAGCATTCCCAGAATGTTAGAGGGAAAATTTTCTTGCATGAGCAATTCAGAGAAAAAAAACTGCAAGGATCATTTCCTGATTTTTCAAGGCATTACATGAAGGACAAGATAATAATTCTGATTAAGAGAAACTCACCATTATTTGTGTTTGGCTGCAATGTACCATGTGCTGTACCATTGGGAATGCTAACTCCTTCACTCAATATTTCACTATCTTGGGCTCTGCAAAACAAAACAGAAATACTAGGGAGAGGACTACTGACAGATGAAGAAAGCCCCACAAACAAAAGATAATTCGTTTTGACAGAAAAGGAGCCAAAGGCGGAATAGAATACAGGTAGTCCTCAGGTTACAACAATGCTGAATGAGGAGGACTTACAATGGTTCCTTGGAATTCTAGCCATTGCAGCCTCCCTGCAGTCATGTGATCATGATCCCAGTGCTTGGCACCCAGCTTGCAAATATGATGTAGCAACGGGCCATGATTATGTGACTGTGATTTCCAATGTTTCCTGCTGAGTTCCCACAAGTAAAGTCAATGGGGAAGTCAGCAGGAAATCGAAACTCACTGTCACATGAGGTCCTTGCTTAGTGACCCATATGATCCTTATTTATGACAGCACAATAGGTCTGCTGGAATTACTGTCACTAAGCAACTCAGTCATATGATGCCAGGCTTTCCAACAATGTCACTTAACAATGCAGTCCCAATAATCCCTTAATTACCCTATGGTAAGATGGGCAGCCAATAAATCAGATGGTTAAGTAAGTAAGTAAGTAAGTAATCAACCCTAGGACTACCTGAATGATAATAACAATGAATCATATAATAATATGGTCTGTATGCTAAAATGTAGACAGAAAAATCAAGAACTAAAGAAAACAATGAAAACAAAAGGACTTTAAAGATTAATATATTTTTATAGCTTAGGTTTTTATTGGTTGGAGTTATTCTAGCTGGCAGATATATAAGGATATTGAAAAGACAAATACAGCTAGAGAAAATCAAGAAATGAAAAAATATGAATTGCAATAGATATATTAAGCTTTAAATTTAAGTAAAACAAGCATAAATAAGTAGTGCTCATTGAAGCCCAAGCCTTCTGGTATGGATAGGCTAAGTAATCATCCACAGTGTGATAACAAATTATTTTGAGGACATAGGTGACAGAATCAAACTTCTGGAAAGCTTAAACCTGAATCTCCCTTGACCAAATCTTTAGATGGCAAATGTGACTATGTGGGGTCCTTGGTGCTCTCTGAGCTTGCTTGTTTTCTTGCAGACGTTTCATCACCCTAACTAGGTAACATCATCAGTGCTAGTAAGGAGTGCGGTTTGCTGTCTGTTTATATTTGGGTGTCTTGCCTGTCTGGGTGGGCGGGGACGGTCATAGGATTCTTTGGTTGGGCTGTTTACTAATGGCTCTTTGGCAGTTTCTTGATTGGCGTATTGCTTACTTGATTGCTAGTCTGAAGTCGACTATCCATCATGGCTTGTGAGAAAAGTAAAAATGCCCAGTCCTGAAACCTTGTGCTGTCAACTCCTGCAGGTATCACTTCAGTACATTTCTATTAGGTTCTTAAGAATGTAAACTGTATTAGTTAACTTCGTAGAAACATAACATATAAATGTAAAAAGTATGTAATCTTAAAATTTATGGAGATCTTAGAAATAAATTAGAGCAAGCGTTGTATATACTGGGGATCATAACTATTTGTTACCAAGAGTTGCAGATAAGTTTTATCTTTTGAACTTTTTATGAGTTTGGGTCTCAGATGGCCACTGGAGGTATGATGATGACAAAGGAGATACACTTGAGATTCCTGGCACGTTTTATAAGGAAGGTCTGTATTTTGTTTATATAGGTAAGACTTAGTCCTACGATCATTCATTCAGTGACCATTCAAAGTACCACTGTACTATATGAATGATGGCTGTGACTGGTCCTTGGAGCCCCAGTCATCTCAACACACCTGCAGTCACGTGATCACAATCTGGATCCTTGGCAAGCATTCCCTGTTACAACCTTGCCACATCTCCCTTCCACGCATGCGCAACTTCTTGCCTTCATCTGCACCACACCCTCCCTGACCCCACTCACAACTCTCTCTGCACCACTTCTTACATACCCCCCTTGCATCTTTGTGCACCTTCCCCAACCCCTTCTGTGTATCCCCATGCTCCCCACCTGAAAGCAGTTGGTCAGGGACTTGCAACTTCCTACCAGCTTCCCACCAACTTTGGTCGCGGAAAGCCAACAAGAAGGTGCCTCGCCTAACCACACCATGGGATTTGGTCAACAACTGGAACTGTAGAGATTGCATTGCTAAGCAATGCAGTCGTGCTTTACAATCGTACTTCTAGGCAGTGGAAATTCTGGTCACAACTGCTGTCATAAATCAGGGCAAAATACTGTAGCTGAATGGACTCCAATGGAGGTTTAAGAATTTATTTTAGTGTTTACATGTTGTGAGGGGGGGAGGTAAAAAACAACAACATTATAATGCCATCCAAACCCAGAATTAATTTTTCTACCAAGCATCAGTGGTCTGTGGCTGGGGGTCCACTCCACCCCCCAATGAACTGGGGAACTGAACCATAGTCTGCCAATCTTTGATATATTCATCAGCCACAACACTTTTCTTTTTCAAGAGAAGCACTGATTAAGCCTTATTTTGCTACACGAGGCATTAACAGTACTGTTGGTATATAGCATAACTTTTTAGCCCTAGCTTTAGAACTCCCATCCCAACAGTTACAGTAATAGCAATAGCACTGAGACTTATATACCGCTTCACAGTGCTTTACAGCCCTCTCTAAGGGTTTACAGAGTCAGCATATTGCCCCCAATAATCTGGGTCCTCATTTTACTGACCTCAGAAGGATGGAAGGCTGAGCTGGCCAGGATTGATGGAATCGAACTCCTGGCTGTGTGAATAGTTAGCCTGCAATACTGCATTCTAACCACTGCACCACCACGGCTCCCTACAGTAATGTGAGATGATGGAACCCAGCTTGGATGAATTACTCAGTTCCTTACTCTCATATATAAATAAAATCGTACTAAACTTAGCTTTACTTACTTATCTCGTGCACTCGTATTTTCTGTTTTCTCTTCATTAGACTCTTGTGCATTGTCTCCAATATCAAAACTTGGATCAGAAGCAGTTTCATGTTTTTGAACATCTAGTGGAACCTCAGAAGCACTGAGAGAGTTATCATGTGTTTCTTCCTTCTCATCTATTTCCTTTAGGCTATATTCAGAACCCATGTCAGCTGTGCAAAAAAAAACAAATACACACAACATACAAGGAATAATCTTTGGAGAGTTTCAGTATACAAAAGTATATTGCTTTTTTAAAAAAAATTGAATGCTTGCTTACTAATGCATTTGCTATATTGTCCTATTATTTAAAATCACTATAAATAAGGTAGGGAGAACGTAATATATGAAACACTTATATATTAATAGAAGATGAGAGTTTGGCAAATATATTTAGAAGTACCATAAAAGCAATGTTGTCTTCTTTAATTAAACACATAAGAGAATAAACCGACAGGAACATAGGGAACTGCTTTATATAGAATTTAATATATTTAGATATTCTGTGGAAGAAAATAGGAAACTATCTAATAGTGTTGCCATAATCAGAGGAAAAGTCCCTGCATATCTTAGTTTCTTCTTGGCTTCATTAATAGACTAATATTATCATATGACGTCAGCATAAATGTGTTGTACCGTAGAGTTATGTGAAGACAAATACAACAATGGCACTCTTAAAATCATCAAGAAGAGAATAAGTAGGCTATAACACTCAAAGCAGGCACATGAAGCTGAACAGAATGGAAGATCTTCCTTTCCTCCTCAAAACATATATTAAACGGCATTCATTACTCTCAGAGAGCTCATGTTAAATGAGACTAGTATGTATAATTTAGGAAATTAGTCCCAAAGAGAAAACATGACAGCCACCTACATTTGAGCGACACTTCAGATTCATCTGGAGTATCAGTGTTAACCAAAACTCTACTTTCATCTGCGACTTGCTGGACATTGTTTTGATCATGACTGGTTGGATCAAAGCTGCATGAGGTACCTGCTGCCACTGGGGTCCTGGTTAGATCAACTACATTGCCTAAGAAGCAGGTTAGGAAACAATGTGTGAATTAACTTGATTAACGTGACAATAAAACAAACATGAGAAGGAAAAAAGCAGAGGGAACAATGTTAGTCAAATCAAAATGTTTTCAAGTCATTTTTGGTAATATTAATAGGGTTGCTGCACTAAGTTCACAAACACAGTCTAATTAACACCTTTCTCTACTCAGCACTGAAAAGAACTGAAAATGTCTCTGATCATCAAAGTATCAGTTCGGAAGATCCTCACCTTTTTCCCTCTCATACAAACAGAACCACTATCTCTTCCAAAATACTGTCTACTGAAATTGCATGTGCTTCATTTAAAAACAAAACAAGGGCACTTATTTTTTCCTTTGAAATTATAACTTATTCATAACCACCCAGATGCAATATAACCAATTAATCAATGAAATCAATGTGATTAAGCAATTACCAGTTCTTTTTTTTCCTAGAACAATTAATTGTACATTAAATTGTAGGGCTCTGCAGAAAGCCAGTAAAGCATCTTTCTGAACCCACATTTAAGGGCTCCCTTTCTCCAAGGCTCAGGGTCACAGCCTTCTCCCACTCCAGCAATCCTCTTTCCATCGGGACTGCTGTCAAAATGAAGCAAACTGTCCTCTACGCTTGCACACTCACACCGAGATTAAGTGGAAAAGAACCTCAGAGCTAGTAGCCAACCTTGAAGAAACACAGCCATCTTGACACTCTGAGGAGCAGATTGGGGACGGGGGTGATTATTGGTCCCTTTGGAAAGGCTAGGCTATTAAGTGGGGAGGTAGAATGGTGAATATATTTTAATATGCAGAAATGTAAAAAACAATAGTCAAGGACATCTGTGACTTGATTATGGAGAGAGAAATGGAAAGAAAGAAAGAAAACGCAGCTCTGCTAAAAACTCAAATGAGGAAACCAACAAGCTGAGTTGCAGAGATTAGCTGTAGTTGTAGGAGGAGCTGCATGCCAAGCAGTTCCAAGTTATTTTTCTTATTATTTGTAAATAAAGAGATTGTTTTTGCTTCAGCAGGTATCATCTGCCTCCACATACACAACTATTTACGCCCTTTTCAGCCTTCATAATGGAAAGAGGACATGTGACTGGACCCCTTTCCCTGTACATTTCAGAGCCATCACTCCTATAGTTGATGGGGGTTATGTAGACTATTATTCAATCACATACTCTATTAACCTAACATATTGAAAGACCAGGACCATGGTGTACCTAATGGGAACAAATCACATCCCTCTTCATCTCTAACAAGGTATCAAATTATTATTTGAACATTATTTCCAAGAAGAAACTAGTGCAGAACATAAGGTTTTAGTCCCCCTTTTCAGAGTATTGATCTAAATGATATTTCACTGTGGTTGCTTTTCTTAGCTTTTAATAAAGCTATAGTCCAACTATAGTATAAATCAGTGGATTTACAGATATTTCAATATTTATGCTGTCTCTAAATCAATGTGTCTGCTTAAAAATAGGGGGGGGGGAGTCTCCCAATGATATGCTTGCATGTATGTGCCTTGAAGTCAGTGTTTATTTCTGGTGACTGGACAAGTCCCTGCCATTTTCTTGGCAAGTTTCTTTGTAGTTTTCAAATACCTCCTTCTTAGGGCTGAGAGGGAGTGACTGGCCTAAGATCACCAGCTGGCTTTGTACCTAAGTCAGGATTAGAACTCAAGAGTCTCCTGGTTTCTAGTCTACTGCCTTAGCCCCTACACTTGGAATATTGCATCCACTTTTGGTTGCCATGATATAAAAAAGATGTTGAGACTCCAGAAAGAGTGCAGAAAAGATGATTAGGGGATTGGAGGCTAAAACATACGAAGAATGGTTGCAGGAATTGGGTAAGTCTAGTTTAATGAAAAGAAGGACTAGGAGTGACATGATAGCAGTGTTCCAATATTTCAGGGGCTGCCACAAAGAAGAGGGAGTCAAGCTATTCTCCAAAGCATTTGAAGGCAGGACGAGAAGGATGGAGAATCAAGAATCAAGGAGAGAAGCAACCTAGAGCTAAGGAGAAATTTCCTGACAGTTAAAAAAACAATCACTGGAACAGCTTGTCTCCAGAAGTTGTGGGGTGCTCCAACACTGGAGGTTTTAAGAAGAGATTGGACAACCATTTGTCTGAACTGTTATAGGGCAGGAGTCCCCAACGGCCGTCCATGGACCGGCACTGGGCCATGGCATGCCACAAACTGGGCCTCACAAACAAGCAAAGCCCCATCTGCAGGATGCAGGCAGCATGTGAAACCATGCCCCCTCCAGTCCCCGGAAACACCTTTCTCCATGGAACTGGTCCCTGATCCCCAAAAGGTTGGGGGCCACTGATATAAGGTTTTCTGCTTAAGCAATGGGTTGGACTATAAAGCTTCCAAAGTCCCTTCCAACTCTATTTTTCTGTTATCAATCTGGCCCCAAGATAGGCTTAAGGAAGGGAAAAATATTGACATAATTTAATACTGCTTGATTTTATACATTTTAACACCCAATTCAAGTAAAATGAAAGCCATTGTTTTGGGTTAATTTAGAATAACGTAACAAGGGCAGAGAAAAGGATGTTAAAGGGGCAAAAAGAATTTTGGGGCTATACTAGCAGATATAGCTGGGTTTGTTGTTTTTTTTTTGTTTTATTAAATGTTGCATTAAAAATACCTGTTAGAGACTGCGCTTTTGAGTATTTTCCTGTGTCAATGCTTTCTGTATGAATTGATTCTGCAGATTCTGATCCTGGAAAATAGATTTTGGATAAGCAGAAATAGGCATTTTGGAAATACTTCCTTCTTCATGACAAAATGCAACAATGCCCAAATATCTTTTAACAAAGGTATACAATTGTCAGACCATTATTGTTCTTATGATACTATTTTTCTGGCAAGAAAGCACAGGCTGCATGCAATCTACAAGTAGTCCAGCTGTTGACACAACAGTTAATTTAGTGGCCATTCCAAATTACAACAGCACTGAAAAGATGACTTATGACTGTTTTTCATATTAACCACCATTGCAGCATCCCCCTAGTCACGTGATCAAAATTTAGACACTTGGCAACTGATTCATATTTATGACGGTCGCAGTGTCCCGGGATGATGTGATCACCTTCTGTGACCTTCTGATAAGCAAAGTCAATGGGGAAGCCAGATTCACTTAACAACCCTTATACTAACTTAACAACTGCAGTGATTCACTTAACAACTGTGGCAAGGAAGGTTATAAAATGGGGCAAAACTCACTGAATAAATGCCTCAGTAACAGAAATTTTGGGCTCAGTTGCAGTCATAAGTCAATTGAGTAATAAATAATAACTTCCCGTCAAATTTCAATGGTAAGAATTATACAACAGGCCACACTGTTTGGATCTGCAGATATACCACAATGATCCATTACAACAGCCTAGATCAGTGGTGGCGAATCTATGGCACGGGTGCCAGAGGCGGCACTCAGAGCCCTCTCTGTGGGCATGCGTGCTGTCGCCCCAGTCCTAGGCCTTCAGCTGGGTTTTATAAAACCTTTTCGCTTTAGGCCTCCACTGCCGTGTACAAAAAAAAAAAAAGGTTCGTTCAATCAGTCAATTTCAACTTCTTGCAGGAAAAAAAAAGATCTTGCAAAGTTGGAATTGATTGATTGAACTTTTCAGTCCCACCCAGTCTGCCGTTACCACCGCAGCCACGCCCACCCAATCGGCCACCCCCAATGGGCCACCCCCAGTCAATGGGCCACACCCACCCGGCACCCAACGATGCATAAGTGGGTTTTGGGTTGCAGTTTGGGCACTCGGTCTCTAAAAGATTCGCCATCACTGGCCTAGATTCTTGGGAAGAACTTGATGGAGATCAAAACCAGCTAAAGATGAGACAACAATGATTTCACATTTTAGGGTATAAAGTAATAACAATTCAATGAGCCAATTCTGACTATAAGTTAAAGAGGACAACCGCTCCAAAGTCATTACTTTACATGAGGGCAAAACTGTTTCAGGTTTTGGGTACAGAATTGTGAAATACTATGTTTACCTGTGTCAATGCTATGGTCACTTTGGCCATGCAGTTTCCTGGAAGGTGGAGAAGGCGCTTTGCGTTTTGTGCGCCTTAAAGAAGAATTAACTGAAGATGTGCCACTGAGATGAAGAGAACCTGATCTCTCCATTCCCATTCCCGAGAGTCCCTGGGGAGAAGGTCAGAGCAGAAATGAAACTAAAACAGAACCATTCAAAAATGTAGCCAGACAGTAATCATTCCCTGTTAAATACGAAAACTCTTGGTGTAATCAAGACATACTTTCAGTCTGCACTAATAACTCCATAAAACGATGTATGCATTTTGTCCTTCCTGAATCAACTGATTATTTCCAGTGTAACACCAACCCAAGACTAAGCATTAATTTGGAGTTATGAAAATATGGATCTATTTTCCCCACAAACATAAATAATTAAATTCTAATGATACATTTAAGTGACTGTAACTTAATCCGAGGGATTTGTAGACATTCACATCTGCTGGGGATCATAAACCTTCACAGTTCAGACACAATGGAAAAGTTACTAGCGTTCACTGTAAAAAAAAAAACAAAAACGAAAAATAGCCATCTATATTTTATTCATCCTAGATTTTATTCTACCAAGCTATATTTAGCTGAGGGAAAAAATCTGCTTGCATGTTGTTCAGAAAAAAATAAACCTTTAAATGTTACTGTGAACTAAAGCTTTAAAATTTATCTGCCAGAGCAGACCTCGCTCATTATTTAACGGTGAAGTGGCAGTACTTAGCAGACCTTGGATGATCTTGAAAAAGCTTGTTTAGTACTCAGATGGGAAAGCATCAGGAAATCCCAGGGTTTGTAGGTTAGCCCAGAAAGTCAAAAAGCATCCCAGAAGCCAGCAGGGGCAAATGACTTCTATATTGTTACCAAGGAAACAATATGGACATGCCTGAATCATCACCAGATGTTGACTTAAGGGAGACTTCATCTTCAAATTTCAAATTAGTAACTTCTTAAGCTAAGAAGCAATGTTAAACAATACAACTGAATAACTAGTTAATCGTATAACACACACACAATTTCTTGTCCTCTGTGTCGTGCAACAATTTCATGCTATTATGAGACTGAGAAGATGGGATTCCAACTAATGTCTTCCTGAGTTAACAAAACAAAACAAAACAAAACATGATCTCCTGCATTTAGAAAAGTAGTACATCAGGCAAGCATTCCCTCTTCCAAGTTGTACAGGCAATCCAAAATTACCTCTGGTTGTTCTTGATATTTGGAAAAAAACTGGGTGTTGTTCCGAAAGCACCTGAAACTTTCAATATCTTAAAAGCAGCCTTTCAGATGTACTGGACTATAGCTCTCCAAATGTCTGCCAAAGTGTCTGGGAATTATGGCAAGTGTAGTCCAACATAGCTCTGAAGAGCTATGGCTGGAAAAGATTGATTCAGAGCAATTTTACTTTGCACGTCTCGTTTACTTCTCAAGGAAGATGAGAAAATTCAAAGAAGATACCGGTAATCAAATTCTTATATTTTCCATTTAAAATCAAGAAAGCAGACTATAATAAGTGAAACTGTGGAGGCAATGTTCTTTTTATTTGGCTTCCCTTGCCAGTGTCTGACATTACCACTTTAGCATGAATAAATGCTTTGCTTTATCAAAACAGAGCAAACTGTTCAGTTGGGACAAAGGTATTTCAGTTTAGTCTAGTGTTAAGATAATATAACAAGTCACTTTGTATTTTCCTTTTAAGTTACATCTCAGCAATTGCTGTATGAGCATAAACCAAAAGTACAGGTATAGTATAGGTGGTACCTTGCTCAATAGTAGTAACTATGAGAGGGATCTCGGAGTCCTAGTGGACAATCATTTAAATATAAGCTAGCAGTGTGCTGCAGCTGCCAAAAAAGGCAACACAGTGCTGGGCTGCATTACCAGAGGGATAGAATCAAGATCACATGAAGTACTAATACCACTTTACAATGCCTTGGTAAGGCCACACTTGGAATACTGCATCCAGTTTTGGTCACCACAATGTAAAAAAGATGTTGAGACTCTAGAAAGAGTACAGAGAACAGCCACAAAGATGATTAGGGGACTAGAGGCTAAAACATATAAGGAACGGTTGCTGGAATTGGGTATGTCTAGTTTAATGAAAAGAAGGACGAGGGGGGACATGATAGCAGCGTTCCAATATCTCAGGAGCTGCCACAAAGAAGAGGGAGTCAAGCTATTCTCCAAAGCACCTGAGGGCAGGACAAGAAGCAACAGATGGAAACTAATCAAGGAGAGAAGCAACCTAGAACTAAGGAGAAACTTCCTGACAGTTAGTACAATTAACCAATGGAACAACCTGCCTCCAGAAGTGGTGAATGCTCCAACACTGGAAGTTTTTAAGAAGAGACTGGACAGCCATTTGTCTGTAATGGTACAGGGTTTCCTGCCTGAGCAGGGGGTTAGACTAGATGACCTCCAAGGTCCCTTCCAACATCATCATCATTATTATTATAAGACTTGACTCTGTGTCTGGAGATGTGAGCGACTGGGTTGAGCAAAACAAACTGAGAATGCAAGATGGAGCTGCTATGGGTACAAATATTACCTGGTTCTACGAATGCTTCATCTACTGTTCTAGAGCTGGTGCATTTCTTTAGACATAGTTTTACCAGGAGTTTGGCAAGTATAAACTAGACTAAGACGTCTGGACAGGCATAATTGTATGCCTGCTTTACACAGATGCTGCTTACAGATTCTTAACTGGCATAACCAGTTTACTTTGATATTATTTGGAGAATGCACTGAGATGGCCACTGACTTTTCCCAAAGGAAGACTTTTTTTTTTTTTTTTAGTTAGTTAGATGCAAATTTCCAAACCTCTGTTAAACAGCGCACTCTTGTGGTTAAGGCTTTATAAAAAATAGAAATAATATATTTTTAGGAGAACAAAAATACTATTCACTGATTGCACTTATGTTCCATTCATCTACTGGGCCTGGCTTTCCTTTTCTTCTTTCCTTTTCTCTTCATCTATATAGCATGCTCATATATTCTAGGATATCAGAAAAACGCCTTTTATTCTAAATTCAAAGTGCTGTCTCAGTACACATATTCCCATTTACGCTGATACACTTAGCTTTGATTTTTAATTGGAATTCACCAGTGACAATTTATGCTTTAGTAAGATATTAGTAACTGCATTAATTTCACCCCTCAAACTATGCTGGAATAAATTCAGCATGTATGGGATTTATATAGATAGATTTGACCTGGCAGCCTCCTTTATAACTTCATTAAAATGCTTTATTATAGAAGCAGGCAAGGTTATTAAGATAAAAACATTATTTTAAACATCCCATGCTCTCCCAATAAGTACAATTTGATTTTCTTAAGGATTGAATATGTTTCTAATAATGCAATGGTTTGAACTGCTTGGGAAACCTTTTCCCAGTAAAGTATTTAACTATATTTTTCATAAAGGGATGAGGAAGACAATCTGGAAAAGACAGAAATTGTCAAATCTTTCTTCATTTGATACTTAAACTACACTTTTTCACATTTAATGAAAATATAGAAACTATCTGTTTTATAGGGAAAGCTGAATTTGAATTGCAATTTGATATTGCTTCAAAATACAATTCTTCACAATCAATGCAACTAGCTAAATTTATGATTACTGAACTGTTTTGATCACATTAAGCTTTTCCAGCATTTAATATTAATATTTAACTTCCATCTACAAATTAAAGGTTAATATCTAAAGCCACTGCTTTAGAAGTCTGATAATAAATGCTAGTTTGAGTGAAGGAGGATTCTATGAATAATCAATTTCTTCCTAAGCACAGTTATCAGATGTCCACATATTTCATTTAAAAGTATAAGAATATACACTTCGATTTGGAAGTTCTTTTTTGAAGGATTCTAATAGGAGCAAAGTTTTAGCATGTTCCTCCATGTCTTATTACCATATGTGTAAAAAACCTGAAACACAGGATTACATCCTAAAGTCATACAATATATTTCTGATGATCTACCCCAAGGGTGTCAAACTGCCGGCCCACAGGCTGGATGCATCATAACGAAACCGCGCCCACCCCATTGCCGGCACTGGAAAAAAAGTCACAGCATGTCGCGACATATCACGTGACGTTGCGAGTTTGACAGCCCTGATCTACCCTGTCTACATATCTGATGTGTTTATCATCATCATCATCATCCTTGTCTATCCATTGCAGGATGAAGGCCTCTTCCGCATGTTTCTAGCCAATTTGGTCCTGAGTTTTCTTTTGCCAATTCGGCTGATGTCGTTGATCCGTTATACTCAGTGTGAAATCTGAACATAAAGAAGTAATTTTGTGGCTATGGTTGATTTCAGATACATCATCTAAATTTGGCTCAAGTCAACTCTCACAATTTAATTGGAAGGTATGGCGGTGATTATTCCCATTAAACGGTTTCATAGCTATTCAGACATTATTTTAAAAATTATCCCCAGAGTGAAATGAAGGGCAAGAGGTTAATGACTAACCTTATCGGTTTCATCTACACTACTGGATTTCAGCATACAGATCTTAGGTTTGTCCTGGCTCTGAGCAAGATCCTGGGGCACACTTTGAGAAGCAGGCATGGGAGGCAAAGGCGCTCGGCGCTTTTTGGGCATCTCGGAGGGCAAAGTGTTTGAGTCATACTGTTTCGAAACGGAGCTGGATCTCACAGAAAAGGCTGGCCTTGGCTTGTTTATGAGTGGTGTCGCAGGAGCACTGGTCGTCTTATTGGGGTTGGGGTGGAGATAAGAAAAAAAAATGATTTGATTAGATGTTCAACCATCCGACTTCTTTAAACCAAGAATTATTCACATTTATTACAAGACCAGATTCAAATGTAGCATACACAGCCCAGGAAGTTGTTTTCTTGTAGGAAGTTCCCCAAGAAGCTCAATACAGAAACCATAAGGAGATGGACTGATACGAAATATTGTTTATATTTCATCAATAAAAAATAATTGTTATGGTTCCAGCTAATGAAACATTTCAAAGAACTTCCAGGCAAATGTCCGCACAGGCACAACGGAGGAATGCTAGGATATAAGTTCTCTTCCTCTGAGTAGTTAAATTATCAGCATGTTCCCTCCCTAAATTAGCCCTCATATCTCATATTATCCAATTAGTGTGAAGGTCAAAGGTTTTCTTCTTCTTCCTTTCCCAGGTTTTACCCACTCCCCGTCTGCTCTGTATTAACCCCATAAATACCAGACAATTCTGCATATTGTCAAAAGCAAGAATATACAATATTTGCAGCGTTGACATCAATGCTTTTTCCCTATTCTGGGTTGGCCAAAATGAAATTGGAATGAATGGGGCAAGGTGGGGCATTGCAAACCTCCCCCCCTTTTCTCTATCCTTCTTCTTTCTCCTCCCTATTTTATTTCTAGCAATGTCCCAGCATGCTATATCCTTCTACCTCACCTGTTCCAGATCTTCCTAGTACAGTCTATCCTTCTATTCAGGTTCTTTGCTGTCACCAATGTTGCAATGGAGCCTATCCCATTGACTCATCAGCCCTACTGTATCTTCCTACCATCTTCCCTCAGCTGCCATGCATATTCCATTAGCCACTCCATCTCCCCAATGCCTTTCTTCTTCTCCTCCTCCCTTAGGCCTCCATCCAAATTGCTATACGGTATTATGTATTTCAGCAACCTATCTCCCACTTCCCGGTATCTTACCCTTTCTATCTCCTTTTCTTCCTCTCAGATGCCAATATCCCTGGTTCCCTATACACTTCAACCAAAATAGCCCTACTTCAGACTATGCATGAATAAAACAGACTCATTTCACTCCATTCTTGGATCAAAATGACCAATACGTGTGTTTTGATTTGAGCCCTAAACCTCCCATGAATGCACAAAACATTTTGATTATCCCTGGGCTACCATACGGGTAAGGATTAAGTCCCCTAACAACCTGAAAATCTACATTCACTCATCTCATTAATTGAAAGAAAAATGGGATTAGATAACAAAATCTTGAAAATAGGAGATGTGTGTTTTTTAGCCCAGGGGTCGCCAATCCCCGGTCCGTGGACCAGTACTGGGCCACAGCATGCCAGCAACCAGTCCGCACAAACAAGGATGCAGGCAGCACACAAAACCACGCCCCCTCCGGTCCGCGGAAAAACCTCTCTCCACAGAACTGGTCCCTGGTGCCCAAAAGGTTGGGGACCTCTGCTTTAGCCTCTCTTTTATCAGTTCAAGCATAAAAGCAGTCTCATCCTTGATGCCTTTGACCTTTTCACCCTGCCTTTGATCTAAGGGCTAGGACACAACTTTAACACCCATCTATTCTTATTTATTTATAATTTAAATTACATTAATTTAAATCTCCACCTATCAACAATTTCCACTGCTTCCATTTGTCAACAATTCTGTTCTGTTCTGATTCTGCAATGTTTTGCAAATATTCTCATTCCCAAACTCAGACAATCCATTACCCCGAGTAGGAAGAATAAGACAGAACCACAGCCGGTCTTAATCTATGGGCAAGGGGGAAGATGGTGAGAGAATTAACATTTGCACAATGGTAAAAAAAAAAAAATTAAAAAACAATTTTAAAAAATAGGGTCTTCAGAGCTGGGATGGAATAGTTTCCTTAGGTTGCAATTTTAGGATAATAAGGAAGAGCTGAGAGTGATATTGTGGGATGCACATATGGGGGTTACGTGTGTAAGAAAGTAATTCCTGGAAGCAAAGAAATAGGGATACTCCATGACTTTTGATCAGGAAAGATCAGGAAATATGGGCCTGGTTGTTCTGTGAGAGAAACTGAAAGGGCTAAAAAATAATCCTTTGTTAACCACTCCAGTTAACTTTAACAGGACAAATTGTCCAGGCCAGCAAAAAAAAAAAAAAAAGATCTACTCAAGCTTACATTCTACCTTACCATAATTATAAACATGTATATGTTTGTTACCTGTTGTCGTTTCTTTTTGCTTCGTTGAAAAATGCCAAAGAATCCTTTCTCCTTCAAATTCTCAGAATTTTGGGTGTTCTGAAAAGAGTCTTTAAAAAAAAAGTACCTTCATGTCACAACTTCTAACTCCTATTCATATTTTCTTCACTGAGCCTCTCCTCTTTCTATTATATAATAAACCTTTGAAAATCAGTACGATACTAAGTAGCATCAATGGGAAATTATCTCATTTATTTATTATCTATACAGATAATAAATCTTGAACAGGACATTTAGTCTGATACATTTTCTGCAGTTTTAGATTCAAACTATTATCTGTATCAAAGCAAGATGTAATCTGCATATCTTTTTCTGGTTAATACATAAAATAAAAGCTGCTTAGTTGATTCTTTCTATGAATAATTCTCAAAGAATTGTCCTTAGCAAGATTTATTGCAAAGAAATGAATGGGGTTATATGAATCTGAGCAAATGAATTAGTTTGTATTTAAAACCAGACATGATCTCAGAACAATTGAACTATATCTTTCAAAGATCCTGGAGCAATAGGAAACTACCAAAGGAATGGAAAAAAACTGATGTAATTTCCATCTTCAAAAAAGGGGGAAAAATAGATCCAGGGAAACTATAGACTTATCAACTTGACCTCAATACCTGGGAAGATTCTGGAAAAGATAATCAAGCAACGAATCAGTGAACACCTAGAATTAAGGAGAAATTTCCTGACAGTTAGAACAATTCATCAATGGAATAACCTGCCTCCAGAAGTTGTAAATGCTCCAACAGTGGAAGTTTTTAAGAAGAGATCGGACAACTGTTTGTCTGAAATGGTACAGGGTTTCCTGCCTGAGCAGGGGGTTGGACTAGATGACCTGCAAGGTCCCTTCCAACTCTGTTATTCTATTCTATCAATGTATCAGATCAGAGGCTTTTTTATTTTTCTTCTAATAACCCTCCTGTGAGGTAGTGGGCATTTTCATTGATAACAGAAAAATGTGCAACTATCTGTTCACCTAACAGTCTCCTCAATTTTCATTAGTCTGGGAAGTAACTATTATACCCATATATCATAATTCCTTCTAAAAGCTGTTTACTGGATATTTTTTCATTAGTGGGATTTTTTTTTACAACAGGAATAATTTTTTAAAAATGGATAAGTCAGTTCAGGCTCTTTGCGAACAAAGAGACAATGGGTAATAAATAAATGATCTAGCACAGTAAAAATTACTTCCCATTGCAAATAGTGCTAGATAGATAACACTGTCCAAAGTTGACAAACAGGCATGCTGCATTTACTCTAAAGGAAGCTGGCTCTGAATGAAAGCCATCCCAACAGAAAGAAAACATAAAAATTGATAATATCTAGCATCCCCATTTTGTCATGGTAGGATTACCAATGGCAACTAAAACCAATCCTGAAGATCTCATTTCTCTGGCCCCAAATAAATGTATGTGAATTTCTATGTGCTATATACAGTATATTTCCCTAAGCCCCCAAATTAAAACAATAAATACTAATTATAACTATATAACATTATCCCCCCCTCTACCTTTTAATATTACATGATACAAAGGAGACTCCACTGTTATTAATATTTTAAACAGTAAAAATATTATGTCATATCTGTCCATGTCCTACTTAGGTTCTACTGAAGCATAAAATGGGGAAAAAGTGTGTGGGGGGGGAGAAGGGGATTGAAATAAAAATAACTTTCAGGGAATCATATTGGGGAAAGGGAGAGAAGTCTACTAAGATATTGCCCTTCATGCTCAAGGAAATTAAACAACATATTATATTAGTTTAGAAAATATATACAGATTTCAGCTCTACTAACCAACAATTTTATTCCGAGTTTATAGATCCAATTCCTTTCATCAATACTATTTGAGGTTTATTTTTATTTGGCTATATTCCTAGAATTTGGACATTATCAAAGCATCAAGCTCCATTTGCAACAATGGAATACAGTACTGATACATGCCATCTGTCAACATTTGAATTAGGATTTGTTTTTCCAACAAAGGAGCAAGAAAGATTTTTGAGCATTAACAAATCATAATCTTCAGAATAGTAAATAATAAGTTTTCTGGATACCTGTTTCCCTTTTCTCTCTTTCATTTTTAATTATTATAATGAGCATTCGTTTTATACAAATACATGCTATTTATTATACTTTTTCACATTTATTAATTTGTGTGAGACAGGTCAAAATTTAATCTCTGAGTTTCTCCAACAAAGATAGGTACTTCCAGTGATATAGTAGAACTTTTTAAGAGTGGAAGGCATGTTTTTTTTTTTCTCCTCCATTCCTTATGCCACTTCTGAGGTAACTCCAAAGAATTAGGCATAATTACTCTATTGTTGTTCAACAGTTATCTGATCATTGAAGAGTAATCCTACATTAGATGTACTATACGTATTATCAAATACAAATCAGGGTTATCCCATTTAGATAAATGCTAATTAGTATTGTGGATTCCAACATCATTAAACAAGAATAGTTGTGTGTCTCAATATTTTATTGTTTGTATATCTATGTTCAAAGCGACTTACCTTGTAATGAAGACAAGCTGTGTTCAGTAGTTGGCGTGGCTATAGAGACAAAAAGAAATGCAAATTTAATTGTATTTGAAATGCTTCTTTACAAATTTCTACAGAACATGTGAAAGCTACACAGGCAAGATGTTAAAAAAAATCTATTTGATCATCTCTAGAAAGAAAAGATATATTGTAAATGAGTGGACAAAACTACTGGTGCACTATAGAATGTTCCAGAAGCAACCCACCTCACAGGGTTCCTGTTGTGGGGAAATAGGAGGAGGAAGATCTGTTGAAAATGTTCATTGCCTTGAGATAGTTGTTAAAACAATAAAGATGGGATAGAAATAAAATATTCCTTAAACCCACTCATGGGAGCCTTAGGAAACAAAAGAGTACTTTCTTAAGATTCTCATATACCAAATTTCTTCCAATATATGCGATAAAAACAGCCAAGAAATAGATTGGGCTGAGAAAGTGGATGATGTTAGGCCAATCATTCTGAGTTTCTTTGGCTGAGGAAGGAGTTGAATCTTGTTTCATCTGGGTCCAATTCCAATACTTTAACCACTATACTATGTTGAGATATTCCTATTTTATGGCTTATCTGACATCACTTGCACTGATTTCCCCGTGCCTTTTAAGGTCAGCAATCCCGGGGACAGGATTTTACCCGAAAGCTGAAAAGGGAGAAATAGAATAGAACGTGAGTTTAAAAATAGAGAAATTGTCTGATTTGGATTCCGGAATTAGCAAATACTGACTCCAAAATATTAGAAAGTTACTTTATCTAGCACAGGGTTAGGCAACCTTGGCTCTTTTATGACTCGTAGGCTTCAACTCCCAGAATTCCTGAACCAGCATGGCTGGCTCAGGAATTCTGGGAGTTGAAGTCCACAAGTCATAAAAGAGCCAAGGTTGCCTACCTCTGATCTAGCATGATATAATGAGGACAATTTAGCAATGTAAATGGAAAATGAACTTATTATATTATTTATGCTATTTTTTAAATCAACCTTTTATTTTAGAACATTAAATAATTGGAATGCAGAAACAGGATTATAGCAAAAAAAAAGTAATATATTTACAGCATTTCTTTCAGCAACAGCTTTGTAGACAGACAAACCGTAGGTCTTACCTCTGCTGACATCCATTGCATATAATTCTCTGAGTCCAAGGTCATTAAGGGACTTTGTCAGGTCAAGAGTCTCTCGAGATTGATAGGTCTTTAGCAAAACAGTGTGTAAAGGATCAAAATCACATTTGCTGCTGATAATATGCACAATTTCTTGAAGTGGTGCATGAGGACTAACTCGGACAACTGTCTTCTGTGTCTTCTTGTAATTCACCACAACTCTCACAGTTTGCTAAAACAATACAATTTTTAAAGAGTTTAACACACCGTGCACTATAGCTCTACAGAGTCCATTAATACAAAACATGTTTGCAATACTTAACATAAAAAAATCATAGAATAGTAATTAATTCCCATATTTCTTCAACTCTTCTAAGAATATAAGAAAATTCCATTACACTTTACAGTTTCCTATAAGATATGAAGCTAGGCCTCCCTCATTCACACATATTATCCTAAAACTGATAAGTTGTGGAATGAATTGGAGCAGGGTTATTTTTAGCTGTTAATATTCTTTCCCCTCAGGAAAAGGAGAAACAGTCAGGAGTATGACATCAGGAGCAATTTGCTCTTATAAAAAGGGAAGGGCTGCCAGTATCAATTTTTAGGATATTATGGAGAAGATGCAAGCAAACAGAAGAAGCATCCATCTTCTCTAGGTAAGAAGAATCCAAGTCAAATAAATGCAGCTTGAATAGATATGGATAAAATATCCATAAAATATGGATCAGCAATGGATTGTTTTATGTGTCAAATGACATGGCTTTTAATTTTGTTAGGTGTCTTGGTGATCTGCTTGAGTAGTAAAAACTTTACAAATAAATAATACATTATAGGTCAAAATATTTTTTTAATTGCATATAATTTTCCTGTTATTCTTGTGAGATTTTACAACTGCATCTCAAAACTTTACAGAAGGATACAACATCTCACACGATTAAAGCACTCTTATCTCAAATGTTGTGACACTTCAGTTCATCTGAATTTTAAAAAAATAATTTTGTGGAATCACAAATGTTAACTGTGCAGTATCACAGATACCTTGGTATCTGTGAGCACTCTTTAGTTGACATATGGCCTAAAGCAGGCTATTACTGCTTGTAACTAATATATATATTATGAAAAATATGTGAAGTAGAGGAATGACAATAGTAAGACTTTACTGACTCTCTCACCTCAGGGATGATAGGAATAGGCTTTTTCTTATCCATTTGTTTTGGCTTTAAAATCACTTGCTCAAATTCAAGCATCCCAATAGGTGTATTAGGTTTGAATTTGATTGGTTTCTTCTCAGCTGACATCAGATCAATAATATGGCTTGCAGGATTTAAATGGTATTGTGCACAAAGGTATACCAATAAGTCCATCATTGGTTTGCTAAAATAAAAAACAATAGAATATTATATGGAAATATTCAATACGCTACATGTTTTATCTCAGCCAAGTTTATAGATCAGAATATAGACAGCAATTCAATCTTTTTATTTTTTCCAGAGAAGCACAGCACTACAGCACTGAAATTATACGCAGTTAAGACACACAATTATTCTTTGGGGCTCAGCTAGGACCTTACTCCTCTTTTACTCCTCTGGAAAGGGCAATCCAAATTCCTAAGACCATATTTCAGATAGTGCACTGCATCCCAAATGTAGTAGTAAGTAGGGAGGCAGGACTAGCCAAAATTGAAACAGGTGCATGGAGTTACATTTTTGTACATCGGTTAAAACTACTCTTTCCCTCTACAGATTTGAGTTCTCTCCTTATACAGAGAGTCCTCAACTTACAACAGTTCATTTGGTGACCGTTCAAAGTTACAACAGCACTGAAAAAGTGACTTATGACCATTTTTCACACTTATGACCACTGCAGCATCCTCATGGTCACATGATCAAAATTCAGATGCTAGGCAACTGGCTCACATTTATGACAGATGATGCAGTGTCCTGATAAGCAAGGTCAATGCGGAAATCAGATTCACTTAACAACTGTGTTATTAACAACTGCAGTGATTCACTTAACAACGGTGGCAAGAAAGGTTGTAAAATGAGGCAAAACTCACTTAACAAATTTCTCACTGAGCAACATAAATTTTGGGCTCAATTAGGGTTGTAAGTGGAGGACTACCTGTATAACACGATTTCAAATTAGTATGGTTCAGGACCAAAAACTCCAGTATCTTGGTTTCTCCAGGGAAGTGCTTCTTTTTTTTAAAATGTTTTATTGATTTTTAAGAATTACAATCTTTAGTGCTTAGTAAGCAAGATGTTGTCTGGGTTCAGATATTTAACGTTAACTTCTTCAATATAAATCCATTCAGTACTGCACAATCCAGTATTTTTTCCCTGATCCTCCTTTCTTCCCCATATTTTTTCCATTTTACCCTCATTACACATTTACGATTTTTGGTACTGCTGATGTATAAAAAGTTAGATATAAGCATCTTCATCATACTTTACTAATATCATACAAATAATAATATCAATTGTAAATCAATAATGTCAATTTATAAATTAATATCCTGTTTTTTGTGCTCTTGTTAAGGTTTGATTTCCTATCAGTATTTGAAATATCTTTGTCAGTTATAATTTTCTCAATATTAATTACATTTATATAGCTAAAAGTTTTATTCATATGAATCCTCTTATTTTCACATTTCCCATATAAAAAAGAAAGAAAGAAAAAATGCTATTTTAGTTTTAAATCATATCTTTCATTATAAAAGTCTAAATATATCTAAGGGTCATCGGTTCTTTTAATCTTATTCAAGCAAGTATTTAAACATATAATGCTCCCTCTAATAGATCAAATCTTCTGTTTTTTAAATCTAACTCTTGCTTTCTTTCTTTGGCAAGTAGCTTTCCAAGCCAGAGCAATTAAATCGCCCAGGAATTTTCTTTCTATTTTTGTGAAAATTGCTTGACACGAGGAAGACAATTTAGGTAGGGCATTTTTTGGGGGGGGGGGAATTCCGCCCATTTATATTCCTTAAGCAACTCCCAGTTTCTTTCTCCTTCAATTTCTCTTTTCATTCCCTGTCTCCAAAATTGTGACATTTCCCCTAACCACTCTATATTCCATTTTTAAAAATCTTCTTCCTTGCCATCAGATTATTTTGTAGATCTAAGGAGTAAAAGATCTTTTGCATTTTCATTGTTATGGCTAAGTCTTGCAGTATTTTGTTTGTATATGGTCGTTTAAATTTCCTTTCTTTTATCTCTTCCGTCTCTAAATCCATTTCCTCTGTTTCGTCTTCTAATTGCTGGTTTATTTGTTCATACTTTGTGATCGTTATCTGGGAACTTTCTAGTTGTAGATTTAATTTGGAGATTTGCTCATTTATATTATCTAAATTGTTTTTAGACTCATTATGAATTCTTTTTATGTCCTCTTTGTATGCAACAAATGTTTGGTGAATTAATTGTAGCATAGAGTATATTTCCTTCTAAAAAGTGTTTGTTTTTTCTTGAGGCATCATTCCTGGAGATCTTCTAGTATCGCCAGTCTCAGTAACAGTAGATCAAATTTTCCTCTAGTTTTCTGGTCTTTATATATACACTTAATAATCCAATAGATTCCAGAGTATAGGTCCAGTCCTGAAAGCAATATTTTATAGTGATCCTTTGTCTCAAGTATCCAAAAATTGTCAGGCAAGGTTGTAATCCACAATGTTCAAAATGTTCAACCTCCCTGAAAACAGTTCAAAAATCTCTCCCATCCAAGCGTAGTCAAAGATCAATTTTTTTTTCTCTCCCACTAGCTCCTGAGGTTAAAAGTCCAAGTCAGTAGGTATTTATACTCCAAGAAGATCAGGGTGAAAAGTATGCCAAAATATTTTCCTTTATTGCCAGCTATTCTCCCAAGCTAGGAGTCACCAAGCAGACAGGAAGCAAATTATAGTGCTGTACACAAATCCACCACTAGATGTCATTCAAAGTCCATTTTCCACTCTTAAGGCAAAGAACTGATTTTTTATATTTCACCTTAATGTTTGTTTGTTTGTTTGTTTTTCCAAAGAGAAAATCTTAACCGTTATCTCAGTTTTCAAATTTATCAAAACTGTAGCTTTATGTTACTTCCACTTCAGTATTGTATGTTTCTGTCCCTCATAAAATTAAAATGCCGCTTCCATTCACATTCAGAGGTTTTTAGCTTCTTGGGAGCCTTTCCCAGGAAATTCAGTTGTAAAATAGTGAAGAAAGGATCAGTATTCTCACCCAGTCCCAAACATGCTGTTTACGATGTGTTAATTGGTGCTTTTTCTTCTTCGGTTGTCAGCAACTAATGGCTGGCCACAGGAATGTAGTTAATCTTTCCCCTGCTGGTTTGGAGGGCTTTCCTTGGATTGAACAGAAAGACTGCCATCTCTCCGTGATCAACAAGGCACCCCTCCCCTTCATCGCCTCTTCGGGGCAACTTTAGGTCCTTTTTAGGGCCCCCAGCAGGGCAAAATCTGGTGCATCTCACTGCAAAACCGGAAGTCTCAGGAAGTGCTTCTAATGATAGGGTATGAGTGTACACTTAGCGCACTTATACAATATATTAAAAATCTGGAAATCCAATAAGATCAGGCTGCTCTTCCCAAGAATGTTTATTTGAGCAAACTTCCCCTTTTAAAGCAGCGAGATATTTATATCAAATAACCATTCCAAAAATTCAAAGGGTATTAACCTTAATGCATTGAAGTGAACTTTCCACAGCAGTTTTGGAGGGCTAATACAAAAAAAAAAATACCATGTGAGCTGAGATTGTGCCCCTGTGGATAAGGAGCCATTGAAACTGTAGCTCACATCCTGCTATACTGCATCTTCTATAAGGACTCACAGACTCAATTTATAACACCTTACCCAAAAAATATCCAGGAAATATTCACGTGCAACTATCAGATCAGTGTGAAGTAGTTTCTCTCAATGTGGCCAAACTCTGCTATGCTGTCTGTAAAAATTAAGCAAAATTTAACTGCCCACTGTTAATCCACCACCAATCACTATAAATTATTCTATCTTTTATTTTTTACTATTACTATTATTGTTTTAATCTTTTTATTTGCTGGTCTGTGACGGTAATAAAGATTGATTGATTTCATTACACTGTGACAATATTAATGTGAAGACATCAGTACATGCATCACTGTGGTGGAGCAGTGGTTAGAATGCCGTATTTCAGACTGATTCACTGCTCACTGCCAGGAGTTTGATCCTGACCTGAGTCAAAGTTGACAAAGCCTTCCACCCTTCCGAGGTTGATAAAACGAGGACCCAGTGTCATGGTTCCAACAGACAGAGATGAATAAAGCAGAACTCCGAGGGTTGAAAATTCCTCAAAGAACATGTTTATTAGTTACAAAGAATCGGCATGGTCAAAAGTGAAACCAAGTCTGAATACACAAGTAACAATCACCAAATTACAAATTACAAAGTTAAATGTCCCACCCATGCAAGCAACTACGTTCCCCAATACTTAATTGGTGGGCTTTTTATGGTCTCGGGAGCAGTAGATGACCTTGGTTTCCACGGGACAGAAGATTACTTTGACTAACAAACCACCTGGGCAACCCTCCTCCCTCCGTTCTATGTGGCAACCTAGAATGAGAAATAAAAGTGGCTGCAGTCATGCTCATTGTAGAGTTGACACCCAGATTGTTGGGAGCAATATGCTGACCCTGTAAACCGCTTAGAGAGGGGTAGTAAAGCACTGTGAAGTGGTATATAAGTCTAAGTGCTATTGCTAAATGCACTGCCATTGTGTTGGAAGCCATTGCATAATAACATGCTGCCTTGACTAGAAAGGATTATTTTTTTCAGGTGTGAAGCTTCTTACATTCCTAAATCTTTAAAGGAGTGTTTCTCAACCTTGGCAACTTTACGATGTGTGGACTTCAACTCCCAAAATTCTCCAGCTAGCAACGCTAGCTGGAGAATTCTGGGAGTTGAAGTCCACACATCGTAAAGTTGCCAAGGTTGAGAAACACTGCTTTAAAGCATTTGAAAGAAATTGATTGTATCATTCATAAAGGAATTCCTGCAATACAATCCCCACCCACATTAACAATGCTTACAGATTACTACACTTCTTGTTTGTCAGAAAGGTAACTAGCACTGTTTTGGACTGGGGTTGATGTCATCTGTGGTTTAAGTTCTTCTATCAGAGCCTCTAAGAGATTAGTCACTCTTTTCCTTTTAATCTGTTCAGGTGTTTGTTTTGATAAAAGCGATGACTTATTTCCAACAGCTGGGTACTTGCAGATATCCCAAAATGCAGTTGCACAGAGGTATTTGAACACCTGGGCAAGCAAAAAAAAACCTTTGTAGAAATGTCAGTAACTGTTTTTTGAAATAGGAAAACCTTTCTGAGTTTAATTTTCCATATATAATACTGACATTCAGTACAGAGGTTTTTCACCATAACTTTAAAGTAGTGCTTGACTCAGTCCTGATAATGAATAGAAGAGATGATGAAATCCATTTCTTACCTCCTAAGAAAAGCTTTCTCCCACAATGATAAGGGTCTTACTTTAAAAAAAAAATCTGATTAATTTGGCTTTGCATCCAGCTAATTGTAAACAGAACTGATATTCCTGAATATTTTACTCACAAAATAAGCATTCATTAGTAAGCCTTTTTAAAAAAATAAACAGGATCTATAGAAAAGCAAAGAATGTGCACTAATTGAAGCATTTCCCTAGAAAACTATAGAAACTATTTAATAGGAGTGAAAGATGGCATCTGACAGAGTCAAAACAAGGATCAACAAACCCGAGGAACTAATATGGAAGGGCTCACATTTCAACCTGTCAAGAAGGCATCTACAGCAACAGCAGAGGCTCTGTGGCTGAGAAAATATTCCACCTGATTTGCTCAGATTCAGCTGCAGCACGAAAGGAACGTGTCAAATGTCTACTCAATCCTTGGCAAGGAACTGAATCCATTATCTCTCCGGTGTAAGGAGATACCTTGTGTGGACAGAAGCTGAACTTGTTTCAGTCTGTGCAAGAACCAAAGGTTGGAAAGAAGTGCTGGTATGTACAATAATATCTGTAAATTTTCTTTCGAATGCCAAATTTAGAAGGGAGAGCATCAAAGTCAATGGCATTTCTCTCAGCAAATATTCAGCAATCTGGTCTAACGGTTTTGTAAGTTTCTCTAAAGCAGCGGTTCTCAACCTGTGGGTGACGACCCTTTTGGGGTCGAACGACGCTTTCACAGGGGTCACCTAAGACCATCAGAAAACACATATTTCCGATGGTCTTAGGAACCGAGACTCTTCTATCCGGCCTCTGCCACCCTCCTCCTCCTTCAAATTTTTGTTCAACATACCTGCCGTTAACATTAGTAGTCTTGATCACCTCTCCAGGAAGAAGCACAGACAGCTGAATGTCTCTGTCAATCGCATTTTCTTTTTGGTCCATAGTGCAGTTAGTTAGTTCTAGATCATCAAAAGATGAGCAATCAGTAACTTTAGTTTCAGGTGGAGGAAGGGGAGCTTTTGACTTGGCTTTCCGCCTATAGTAAAACAAAAAATTGAAAAAGATAAAAATTAGAAAAAGTAAATTCAATGGGAAATATTGGATTTCCCAATACTGGGAAACTAGACACTAGCTGGATACTAGAAGATCCTCTATCCCCAATGGATTTTTAAAATTAAAAGAAACTATATAAACACAGAAAGAAAAGCAAGTACATAATCAATAAATTTCACCATGCATTATCAAACAAACAAGACAATGTGGCCAAATTAAGATGGTATCCAAATTTCACGGATATACATCCTAAAAAGACTTTTACTTGATTATGCAATGCAAGCATGGATTCCCTACCCCCACATCTGGGATTATGTTTAACTAAATGCTGAAATTTCCAATTCTCTCAATCATAATTTTAAATTATGTGATGAAAACATTTAATGGTTTAAATAATTTGCTGCTGTTGTACTTTACTTAATAAAGCATTCTTGTTTTATTAACATTTTGCCATCTACATTTAAGTTTCGTTTGAACATGTTTATTCAAACATTGCTGTGCAACTTTTTTTTTTTGTGACTCCTGGAATTCTCTCTGCCTATCATTGCCAAAATTAATGCGTAGTATGATTTCCCACTATTTTGAGACCTGAAACACACAGCAATTTTAGTGTAAGCCTTGTCAATAGAGAAAACTAGAATTCCACAGGCTTAATAGGGGTTGGGAAGGGGGAATCCTGCTTTATATTTTTCTCTAGGCTGGTGTTCTGCAAAAGCCCCTTCACTCTTCTACAGTCACCACCCAAGCCCTCACTCACAATGCACCTTCTGGTGCCTCGTGGCCAATAAGTTTATATATAAGCTGGCTACATCTCCTTCCTCCTCTTCTTCCCTGTCTCTTACATGATACTTCTTAACAAGAGAGAAGCAGAGAGCTGTAGCCACTCTGTAAGAAAGAACAGAAAAAGAGCACTACTGGATCTGATCCAAAGCCCCTCTACTCTGTCATTTTATTCCCACAGTGGCAGATATGACACCCATAAGCTTACAAGTGAGGCACTCATACAGCACCACACTCTCACAAATGTTTCCTAGTAATGGGTAATCAGGAACTTAATGCCACTAGGAGAAACAATAAATCAGTGGTTCTTAACCTGGGCGATATTGCCCCCCAAGGGGCGATTTCATTTTTCAGGGGGGCAATGAAACGAAAAGGGGCATCACGGGGACGAAGGAACAAAAAGGGGGCGATGGAGCAAGAAGTTTTGGGGACACTTTTGAGACTTTTTCGTACAGTGAATCGCTGTATATCTGTTGTACAAAAACATCAGATCACTCGCTATTAGTGGATTCAATTGTGTTTTCAAAGGTTCCTCCAGCTAGCTTCAGTACAGAACGCCGTACATATGTGAATATGCATCGCTTATCTTCATGCACGTTGTGCACTCTACCCATACAGTGGTGCACCATTGGCCAGAATATGGGAGATATGGGAAAAAGACTGGAAATAAATTATTTGCATCGATATGTCCTCATGACAATTTTAAAGAAAACAAAAAAAGGGTTTGCATAAATTGAAGAATTGTTTCCTATGTTGTGATTGAGAAGTTATGTTGGGGGAGGGGGCGATGACAACTTCCTCATTGGCTCAAGGGGGCGATTCGTTCAAAAAGGTTAAGAACCTCTGCAATAAATAACTGTGGTGACTAATAGCCATTGACAGCATTGTCTTCCATGAATTGGTTTAATCCCTATATAAAATGTTCAAATAAACATTTTAGACAAGCTAATTCCACACTAAGATATAACTATACTCTAATCTAGTGAGATACCTCTTTTCTGTCCTCCCACTCCAATCAGTGAATGTTATTGGCTAATCCTGGATTCTAGCATCCAACTACAAACATGTTTTACATGCATCTAGCATGTCTCCCTCACCTCTCTCAGTCTTCTTGCTTAAAGCTAAAATCCTCAAATGTTGTAATCTTTCCTCACAGGATAGTTACTGCAATCTCCCAACTTTTCTGCAAAAATGCTCTTTTCTGTGGAAATTCCAGCTCTACAATACTCTCCTTGATGTATGTCAACAAAAACTCAATAGAAATTTTCAAGTCTGTTCATGCCAACATGTAACTTTACTCTTTTCTACTAAAATTAAGAATGGAATTTGCATTTCCAACATTTCTTCACAGTCAACACTCTATGAGAAACCTAATTAAGATATTTGGCCTCTAAAATATGGGTCCCATGTTCCATCAACCTCATCACATGAAATTTTAAGTAAAGAATGGCAACATAAAATGGAACCAATAAGGGAGGCTCTCATGTTCAAAAGAATTTAGTCTATTTGCATTTATAACCTACTAAATAAGCTATGGAAAAAACAGGCTAATAAAGCATTCACAATAAATGTAAAAGTATATTTAAATTCCAATAAAGGCATGAATGTATTTTATGATCCAGATTAAATATTAGTACATAAAAACAGCAGCATTTTGGATTGTACCTAGAAGCCTATAGGTAGCCAATGTGGGACATACAACACAGGTGCTGTATACAGGTAGTCCTCAAGGTATGAACCTAATGGAGCCTGCCCATTAGTTTGGTGAGTCAAAAAATTTGTCAAATGAATCAGACTCAATTTTACAAATTTTTAAAATCAAATTCATTATTTGAATTTGTTAAAGAAATGAAGATATGACTTACTATTTCCTCTGATTTGTTAACTGCTGGCTGCCACCAGGCTTTTCCAGCTGTTTCTGCTGCAGCCCACTCAGGAATTAAACTGCCTCCAAGCAGGGCTTGCAGCCATTGCAGTTGCTTATTTTTTTTAAAAAAAAAAACTGTTGCTAGTTAGCTCAAGCATCTTCAGCTGCCCAGAGCACGTGTTTTAAAAAAAAAACAAAAAAAAACACTTGCCACTAATTAGCATAAGAGTTTCCAGCCAGACACCCAGAGGGAGCTGTGGGAGGGATTTGCAGAACTCTCAGTTTGCAACAGTAATAGAAATGGAAGGGACTTTGAGGTCATCTAGTCTAACCCACTGTTCTCACAACAGAGTATTTCTGATAAATGCCTATCCAGTCTCTTCTTAAAGCTTCCAATGATGGGGCACCCACAACCTCTGGAGGCACTTTAAATTTAAAACCTACAAACTACAGTAATATACACTAATCTCCAAAATAAAAGCAAGAAACACAACATTATAGAATACTTCGTGAAGATCCTGGCTATCATTTCTACAAGTAGTTTCAAGGAAAATGTAACAATTAAAAAAAAAAATTAGAAGCAGTCTTCAAGCCCAGGCAGCAGCAGATTCTCCACGCAGCACAAAAAAAGCAAAAAACAAACTGGTGTGAGCTCTGCTCTTGTTTAGCCATGTGACCAGGGACAAAAAAAAAAAAAAAAAGAACAACCCTTCCAGCTTTAGGAAACTGCATTCAAGTCAGAGTCAAAAATGGCTGCCACTACAGCACTAACCGAATCCAAGTCACATGGCTACAAAGGGCTCTTTTTGCTCACAATTTTGAATTTCTAATGTAAGTACCCTTTCTGAAGAAATTTGTTTTTGTGAAAACTCGCTAAATGAACATTCGTACCTGGGGGATTACCTGTACCTCTGGCAGCTAGCACACGACAGTAAGCAGATCACTTTATTTTAAGAACAGTTCATTTGTATATTAAGGAACAAACATCTAGAAGTATGTGTTGGATTAACCCTGTTAGTCTACTCCGATGGTTATAATTTAATTTATTTATTTATGAGACTTATATACCGCTTTTAAGTGCAAGCACTCTCTAAGCGGTGTACACCAGTAAGCAATGCATATATATATATATTTACATTGCCCCCAACAATCTGGGTCCTCATTTTACCTACCCCGGAAGGATGGAAGGCTGAGTCAACCTTGAGCCGGTGAGATTTGAACCGCTGACCTGCTGAACACAGTCAGCTAAAGTGGCCTGCAGTACTGCACTCTAACTGCTGCGCCACCTCCCTTGAGCTGCTATCCTTCTCAATATGTGGTTATGTATGACTAATAATTTTGTGGCCTTTACTGCTCTTGTGATTGTTTAAACACTTTATGTAAGACACTCAGCAAAGGGTCCATGGGGGAGGGTGACAAAAAGATGCTATTGAAATCCTTTCATCCTTTTTTATATGTGCGTCAAGATTTGACTGTATATTTTTACTTGCCATCCTGCCATAAAGGATTGCTTTTTCTGACACCCTGCTTGCAGACACCCTTTCATGTTCTCCTTCAGGGATCTCAAAAATGGAGATATTGGACTGGAAGCCAAAGGAAAAACAATAAACAGCAAAGTCAATCAAATTAAGATCCTACCGTCAGAAGAAGCCCAATTAAAAAGGAAGCAGTTATCTAGTAAAACAAAGGAACCAAGGGCCTGGTGGATTTCTCTTGTCAGAATATTATGGAGAAGGCCCTGCATTTCAGAGCTATTTCTCCAGCTTTAGTTCATATAAGAATAGGGAGCAGGGCCAGCCTAAAGTATTAAGTGGAGAATTTTCAGGTAAAGCCCAACCAGTTGCTGTGATCATGTTCAGCCTTCTTTTCAGGAGGTTCTCTAGAACTATAATCAGATTTATTAACAGTCAGCTGAGCAGAGTCTTTGAGGAACTCTTTTCTGCAGTAGGTGGATGCCTGGAGAAAGGGCTGGGCAATAGCAGTGACACAAAGAACTGGGGCTACTTGCAATTCTCCTCTGCAAGCTGTGGCTTTTTGTACCCCTAAACCTACTTCTCATTAGGGGCAAAAGATACTTCACTTTTATCTCCTTTCCTTGTCTAAAAGGCTTCTTTGGATATCTTTAGGAAACAAGCCCCTTATCGGTCAGATGGCTATTATCAGGACTCTTATCACTTCCTTCCGCTTTCACTTCAGCTTTCTCCTCTGACCCTGAGCTGTGTAGTTCAGGTTCTCACCCAATTCCTTCACTTTCTCTCACTATAACTCTTAGTTGTAGGTAGATTAAAAACAACTCAGGCTTCCCGTGTTAGTTCCTAAATAGAACAAAAGCTCCA